CCCCAAAACCCCAAAACCCCAAAACCCCAAAACCCCTTTTCCTATTTCCCAATTGAAATTGCTACAACACACATATCTGAAGTCTATTTCTTTGCTCTCTTTCTTTTATTCCTTCCTAAACCCTATTAGCTCGTTCTCTAGTCCTATTTTTCTTACTTATTCCTTCTGTTGGCTTGGCAGCTTCTTCTTTAAGTGCTTGGGAAGATGGCTTAAGGGAACTTGGATGCTGAAAGAGGTTTGACTGGTTAAGATAAAAATCAGGGCTGGAAGTAAACCTATAATTGTCTCCATCATCTGAAGAAACAGGTGATTCTTGATCAATGCTTGACTGGTGAGGTCTGCAAGGACTTTTAACTGGAGTAGAGTCATTACGTGTGGTCTTGTTTCAGCTTTGGCTTAATTGTTGAGGTTTAGAATGCTAAAGAGAAGATTAAGAAACCACAAAGAGATTTCTTGTGTTATAAAAGGATTTTTAGGAGTTTATAGGACTCAAGAAGCTATTTAAGAGTGTTTTAAGGAAGGTTGTAAACAAATTGCAAATTTTTTGGAGTTGGAGATATTTTTTACCTTTTTATTAATAGAAGGTGAGCTAGCAATAAACCCGTTGTCTGAGGATTTCTCTGATGCTCTGTAAAGAGACCTGTCGGCATTTAAATATAAGTATGTCTATAATTAAATTATTGAGAGTAGATTTTGAAATCGAGAATAATTTAGAATTGATCACGGACTTAAAAATCATTTGTTGAGGCACAGAAATAATAAAACTCAATTGATTTACTCGTTAGAAATTTTGCTAACTCAGAAAGACAAACTTTAGAAGTTAAGAATTATTTTCAGCTTCAAATATTATAATGCATCTTAATCTAACCTCATGATTGAAGAGTAATTCAGAATCACTGAATCTCCACTTCATTTTAAAATTTCAAGCATGAAATATCCAAGTTAACAAGTTTTTGCTCTAAAAGGGAAATTCTGAGTAACATTATAAGTAAAATACCTCTGATAAAGAGCTGCTCGCAAGGCCTTTAGATTCTTCCTCTGGTTTAGGATCATCATGATTAATTGGATGAGAGATCGGAGATGAGGGCAGGATATGGAATGGAATTGTTTGACTCCTATAGATTATAAAATATCTTCAAATAAAAATCAGTTCCCCTTTATCATACTCAAAAAGGCATGATTCTTATTGAAAACTTGTAAGGTCATCACTCGACTGCAAAATCTCGATATAAAAATGATTTTCAAAAAGGACTCTCATGGAGGCCTCCAATGGAACACTGTATTCTAAATTCCTCACTAAAATGGAGTACTTTCAGATTATGGCGTCAGGTTTTCAAAACAAGTTAAGCATGCCAAAACCATAAACATAATCTGACAAAATCTCACAGATAAATAGCCAAATTTTAAATAAGATACGAAGAGGTTATAAATGGGTTTCATGTGTTGGAACCTGACTTACGCTTGATGGCTTGTATCAGTGAAAGGCACAATGTCCAGAGTTTCTACATTTTCAGGCTCAGCAGTGTTGAAATTCATCCCATATCTTTTCTTGTCCCTGAAAATATAAGTTAGATAGAGTTTGGTAGCAGATGAGTTTGTATTTTTAGATATTTTAATTGAAATTCCAAAAGAAACTGTGACAAATAAAGTTGATATGGCTCGAAGCGATACCATATATGTTTGGAGAAGAGAGATTAGGCAGATCAATTTTATTGATAAGAATGAAAATAAAGGAATGATGGAATTTAAAGCCAATACTTACATCCTGATTCTTTTGCTCATCTTGATGTTCTTACACCAGAACCTGACTTCATAACAAATTGAGAAGATTATTTTCAAGGCGATAATTCCTCCCAAAGCCAAGACCACCAGGAACAAATACTCAGTCTGGTCTTCTCTTGAGAAGAACACAACACACCAGCCAGCAGCAATATTCGCAAATAGCCAGACAATTAGGAAATTGCATCTGAAGTTCTCATAGTCAATCCTCTGGGCTTTGTCTCTTTCGCTCTCGGTCCCATTTTCGTCTTCAGAGCCTCTAGACCCCCAGGTCACATCATGAATGTTTGAGATTGCGTAGATGGTCATGATGTTGATATATGTTGGAGCCATGAAAAAGATGAAGATTGTTCCTTTCACAAAATCTAAGAACTTCAATCTTCTAAAGTTAAGAATCATTGGCAACACATAAGTGCATATCACTCCTCCCACAGCTATGTACACCTTGTAGTTGAGCTCAAGATTCATCACAGAGATCAGCACTGCAACGCTCATCAAAACTGAGAAGACTCCCATAAATACAGCAATTATTTTGAAGATTCTATCGCACCATTCCAAGCAAACTCAGGTGCTCAAGATCAACGTGAAGAAGATGAAAGCCAGGTAGATGTTTTCAAGAATATTTGCTGTTTTGGACAAGTCAGGTCATTCTGCTTCTGAGAACACTGATCTCAAGAATATAGAGTAGGCTGCATAGTACAGACCAACAATGAGAAGTCCAGCTAAAGTGTTAATGGCCATGTACAAGAAGAACAACCAATAAAATAGAGCTCTTAATTTCCCACTTCTTCTACAGATTCTGAGTGGATGGCATAACACATATAAAGTAGCAAAAAGACTTCCATTGAACCATCTCCTTCTTTGTTTAATCAGCACTTTGAGTTCGCTCGGAGCGTCAGTATAAGCCTTACAGCCAGGAACGTATCTAATCAGGAAAGGATACTCTTCTTTGGAAATGATTTCTAAGGGCATGATTCGGTCTTCGGCTAGAAATTTGTTGCCTTCAGAGCAAGAAGGATATGGCCTTGATGGGTCTGAAATGATAGTCCCTTTCAAGAATTCGTTCAAAGGAACTCCTTCGATGCATTGCCATCTGAACATTGAATAGGCTCCAGGTAAGACTGAGATGTAGCCAAATAGCGATTCAGCAGATTTATCGAGATAGTGAGAAAGCTTGTATTCGACATATTGAGATCTTTGGAGAATGCTCTCGAAGAAAGTAACTTCTTTGCCATCATCGTGCTTGTCATTGAGCATCACTTCGATTTCCCCACATCAAGCTCCAGTGTTGTAATTCAGCTCCATAAAAATAGACATTCTGGATAAACTGTTCCAGAGGGGAATGGTTCCAGCATCAATAATGGTAGCCAAGGTTGGTTGAACTGTATTACAGAAGCCTTTGAAGAACCAAAGATGACTCTCAATTTTGCCTCTATTAAAATGCTTTACAACAAGATGTACATCGATAGGCATAGAACAGAATCTCCTCGTCTTAATTTTGGTCTCCTCGTCATCACCATACAGAAAGTCTTCAATAGCAAGGTCGTCAATCTTGAAGCCTTGCTGTTCTCGAACACTAAGACCACTCAGGAAATCTTCAAACCTCATGGACCTAGAGTAGCAGTGGGCGATGTTCTTAGTTTCCAAAGAAATCATAGAGTCTTTATTTCCAAAAGATCCATCATCATTATTAATACAGTCGTTTGATAGTTTTGAAAGAGAAGGCGCATCAGAGTACTTGAAATGGGTATCTCTGTTACTTCCTTCTTTCTCTCGATTTATCCCCCAGTAACTACTCGAAGCATCATGATCATAAATGCCAGCCTTCTCATATCTTTGCCAGTTGTTAATCTTCTCATCCCCTTTAGTAAAAATTGGGTAGCCATCTCAAACAATACAAATTGAGATCTTGTCTTCATATTTTTCCTGGTTAGTCTCCAATAGCTCAAAGTAAGCTCTATAGATTCCGGAGAGAGATTGTAATATCTGAATATAAGGCTCATTGTACATGGTAATACAAAACATATGATGCATGCCTCTTTTAGACTGATCAGCAATAATCCCTGGCTCATTTTTAATAGGCACCAGTTGAGAGTATTTGATTTCCGTATCAGAAGGACTCCCTGTATAATGCATAAGTCTGCTCATCCCATCTTCACCCCCACCATCCCTATCACATTCTTCCACACATACCAGAGCACGATACTCTCCATCACCAGACTCTTCCTCCCCCACCATAATCTCCACCGACGAGAACTTCGATTCCTCTCTATCTTCCATCCGTAAACAACCCCTAACAAATCTTAATAAATAATATTCACCCTTCCCACTCCCCAATGGGGTTTTGGGGTTTTGGGGTTTTGGGGTTTTGGGG